AAATACCAGCTGGGCACGTGAGCCAAAGACTGGATGGAGATGACAACAAATAGAGGGGAGAGACGGGGAAGGGTGGTGGTGAGAGGGGAGAAGGGGAGAAGAGGAGGAGAAGGGAATAAAAAAAGGGAAAAGAGGAGATGGGGTTTGGTTGCCAGTGCTTTAATCAGCTTTAAATTTCAGTCCAGAGAAGGTGCAGGAAATATTCCCCTAATTGCCACCAGCAACAAGATGCTGACTGCAGGAATTTTACTTTGAAAGGACAATCTGTTTAGATATTAGGAGTCATGAACATCTAGAGAGGTCATCAATGTTTTTTTCAAATCTGAACTCATGAAGAACCTTCAGAAGGACTTCACGTGTCTGTGAGTGAATGGAGTCGATGCTTGTTTGATTTTGAATGAATCTCTTGCAGCGCAGCTGATAAACTGAATGGACATCAGCACCATTGCAGCCATTGTGAAATGCAACTACCCACTCGGAGTGAAGCCTCTCGATGGCTCAGCAGCTCCCCCTTCTGGTTAAAGAATTTCAACACTTCAAAACTGCTGTTAATTTCTGAGCTCAGTGATTCACAAGCTGTGTCCCATTTCCATACTGTTTATATTTGCTTTTCTTTGGGAAGTGTTTTGAGGCAGTGGCATCTAACGATACAGTGTAATTGGCATCTAATGATACTATTACATCCATCTCTGTCAGCATGAAAAGATTCAAGTATTTGATTCTTTATTTCAGATGTGTTCCACCGAAAAGAAATCAATTCTAAATGTTGTTTTATTATTATTATTTGGAACCAAATAATATCAACAGAGCTTATTGTAACCTATTGCACTCTTGCTGGCTGTCATACAACCATCATGTGGGAAATCAAAAATAGATATAGAAACACCTGGGGCCTGTTTGAGAGCAGCTTTCCAATCTCTCAATCACAAAATGAAATGACAGAATGTCTCTGAACCACATGTTGCCCACATGGACATGCTGGCTCTGTACACTCCTCTGTATCAATGCTTTTCTACTTCAGCAATGGATTAGTGATTTAACAGTAGAATAGTCAATTTGGGGGCATTTAAATATACCAAAATATTAAAATATTTATTGGATTAATGCTGTTGCAACCTTGAGGTAAACACTAGCATCATGTTTTCACCAGTCACATGAAAGTAAACCCACTTTGTGTGGATTCTTAAATTGTTGTCCTTCTTTCTCTGTCCTAAACAAATGATTGAACTTCTACCATTCTTCAGGCAGACTGCGAGAGCAACGGAGGAATCATAAAGAAGCTTGCCTCCATCAAGGAGGACGAAGAGGGATCAGGGTCCGAGGGGGAGCACTCCCCTCTCCCCAAGATGCCTGCTCTCGGAAGGCTGGGCCGAGGTCTGCGCTCCCCTCTGCGCTCCCCTCTGCGTTCCCCACTGCTGCCGCCGAGACCCTTCAGACCGGCGAGCGATCTCACTCGGCCCGCCAGCCTGCAGATCCCTGTGGTGAGCTTCAGCTGCCTGCAGTCGGACCTCAGCCCTCGGTAGGGAACCATTTATTGATTTATAAATGGGGCACTTAGCTCATTCAGTGGTAGAAAGTTGTCCTTAGTGGGAAATTTGCATTCCTTGTGACTTCTAAAATTATTCATAAACACAAACAGGCTAATTTGCACCTGTGTGGGGAGGTGGCAGCAGACGCTGGGCTGGGGAAATAATTTTATTTTGGAACAGCTGTGTGAGGATGCACACGAGCGTAAATTGTGTCACTGTGTCAGTTAGATACAGATATGTTGGGGAAACAGCAGCAATACAGAAGTAAAGAAGAAATCAACTAATATCTTGATTATTTTTTTTGATCAATTTGAGTTTTAGTTGCAAAAAATATATAAATCTTAGACAAAATTAGTGTGATCTAACACCACACCTGTCAGTGCTGCTGTAGTGAATGAAGGAGAGGTTCCAGTCAGATATAGCTTTATTATTATGAGTGTATCAGAGACTGGTTGGTAATTAGTATGCAGCAGTGTGCAGCTTCTCCCCAACGCTCCATCAACCTTTGACCTGCTGACTGTTGCCAGCTGGATAACATTTCCATAAGCACTCTCTGTCATGATCCATTTACAGGAAGGTTCAGTATGCAAGTCATGATTTTCAATTTGACTTATCGATGAGCTTAATAGAGTTTATAGAAAGTGGAAGCAGGTCACTTTCTGAGATCAGCAGGTTTTTTTTATTTGTTTGTCATAACTGCTACATAACCACGCTGTAAGTTTGTGCAAAATTGTCACTTTGATAAATGATAAATAACTAAATTTAAGAGTGAGATTGCCATGAAATTCACAGAGCATGTTTATTATCCTCACAGGCTACATGATCTTTCATCCAGCATTACTCTGATGCCAAAATATCAGCTTGCTCACAAGATGTCTCATATGCTACTAAGCAAATCATCCATCAATTTTACTGAATACATTCATGCTCCCAAAGGGATCAACCGTGGTAATTTCTCCATACTTCAACTTGAAGTTTACAAATTACAAATCAAAAAGTTAATGCCACAGTTCTTAATTTGTTAACTTTTCGTTTGGTGTGAAACTCATTGACTCCCTCCTCCTGTCTGTCCTCAGGTTTGTGGACGGCATCGAGGCAGAAAACCACAGCGCCGCAGCTCACAAGTTTGACTTTTCTCCCAGTGCGACTCAGAGATTCTTACCCAGCCCTGATTCAGCTACCTCAGGTTAACACACACAGCAAACATCAGCCCCATCTGAGATTCAAAGATAAATTATTGAACGAATAACCAAAGCATTAAATATCAGCTGCTGAAGCCCTATTCACTCAGTATGTATGCATGTATGTGTCCACAGGGGCCCATGATGATGGTGACACCATGCAGACTATTGCTAAGCTAAAACATGAGGTGAGGCTGGTAATACTGGTGTTACGAAGAAAAACTGTGACATTGTTGATTATGAATGTGGACTTGATTTTATACTTTTTGGTTGTGATGCCCGGTTTAAATGCCTTTGCTAACTTGACTTGACATGTTAACTTTAACCCTATCAGTCTATGATAAGATTATAATAAAAAAAAAATTCTAGGTGTTCATCCTTGAATCCTATGAAATCAGCAAAGTTAGTCACATGGTTCGACTGGAGAAAACGTTTTGTAAAAGATACCAAAAGGAAAAGTTTGTTGTTCCACGTAATCAATCTTTTACTTATTGGTTATTGTGCTGTTGTAAGATCATAGTTTCTGTCACTGGAACCAAAAACACACTGATTAGACAGATTGCTGCTCTGTAGTGAGTTATCATGTTTGACACACATCACTCATGACTCTTCCACCTGACTCCCTCTCCTCAGATGAGCGCCCTGTCCCGTCAGGTAACTGCTGTGAGCCAGGAGTTGCAGGAAATGACGCGTCTTCTCAAACCTCTCTTCCACAACCCCGCTGCTCTGCTGATACCCAGTGCTTTGACTCCGCCTCCCAGCGTGTCTTCACACAGCTGCTCCCCGGCCCCGCCCCTTCTTACCCAACATGCACCTGTGGACAATCAAAATCCTCCACCTATAATGGCACCCGAGCCGCCCTATCCTCAGCTGAGCATGAAGGTGTTACAAGGAGAGTTTGATGCACTTCAGTGTTCACCCTCCCGAACCGTCACCTGCCATTATCCTCCAGTTCCTCATCAGACCAGTGCAGCTCATCCACTCTCTCACTGCTCAGCTCCCCCGTCACTCAACAGCTCCCCCCATGAGCACACAGTTGTGCCACATCCCTTCTCATCTTCTTCCATCCCTTCTCTTTCTTCATCAAGTCACCCGTCATCCATCGTCCCCCTTTTAGTAGACTTATCAGGACCTGGTGGTGAGCCACAAACACAGCCTCAGTCCCATCACCACCTCCTGTCCTTGTCTGACTCCCAGCTCCAGTTTCAGCCCCAGTCCCACTTCATATCCCGGTCTTATCCTCATTCCCTCTCCCAGCCTCGCCTCCAGCCCCTTCCCCAGCCCTCCAGCATGGCTTCACACCCTCAAGAACCCCTCCTGAACTTGCAGGAGATGGAGTGGGGGGAAGACACCGCCCAGCTCAGCTTCATCAATGAAGGACAGCCGTCGGTGTGAACAGAGAAGAAGAAGAAGAAGAAGAAGAAGAAGAAGAAGAAGACCCTGACACTGACACGGGACTGACAGACAGGACCAGCATGCCACACAACTTACTGCATGACAAACATTTGCCTAAAGTTTGGCATGTGAGTTACATCGATTTTAAACTATTCTAAACTATGATCTTGAGCACCAGGTGTAAGCAGACCTGATAATAAAAGAGTTTGTTTTACAGTTTCACTTTGACTTGTTTGACACACGGACTGATATAACAGCAGGACGACTGAACTCTTTTTTAAAGTTAAGTATATATATGAATCATATTATATGTGAGATTGCCCTAGTTAGCTACCAGTACTCATCCTGATTTCTCCAGAATCTCCTGCCGCTGTTTTTCGGGACTTTTATTTTATTGCCATTTTAAAATACTAGTGACCAATTTCAGAGACACGCTGAGCTTTAGAGGTTTAGATTTTTGGATGATTTGTTTTCTAAAGTTGCAGACAGCTATTGGTTTCCATTGGAGTAACTCAACAACCCATCCAGTGCTTTAACTCTCCACATGCAGTGATGTAGCTGTGTACTCCAGGCTGCGTCAGTCCACTGTGACACAACTCAAACATCCACATTTCTAAAACAAAGTAGAATATTTTGCAAAATGTTATTATTATTTCCTTTTAACTGTGCTTCGGTCACTCAGACTAAACTCAAGAAAAACATCCCTGATATAGTACATTGCACATGCATTGCCAGACACTCACACAGTGATGAAACAACATTGTAATACTTTTCATTCAGGTTTATTGTAACCATGGTTGCAGCTGCATCTTGGACTTTTCAGGTGTCAATCAAAGGCCAATCAGCAACCAGAGGAAGAAAATCAATAAAAAGAAACAGAATAAAAGCTAAGTGGCTACTCAATGAGCTTTCTAAAGGACTGGACAGTCGGGCAGATGGCGCCCCAGTCCACCGACTTGCGGTACTCGCCTTTCTCCAGCAGGTACTGGCGGCCCTTGTAGTTGGGATGCTCATAAAAGACCCACCAGCCTCCCAGGACCCTGCAGGAGTGAACCTGCCTCCAGTGGAACTTCTCCAGCACAGAGGGACAGTCTTCAGTCTCTTCAAACACCTGGCCGCCAAAGTCCCCTTTACCATACAGCTCGATCTTGTAAGGATCTTCGCTGGCCTGAGTGAAGAAGATGCAGAGGAAGACAGCAGGTAGAGGGGAGAAACAGAAAAGATAAGGGATGGGAGATTTGGTAATTTGATGACCAGCTGGATAAACATGGAGAAAATATGGTTGGGGAGGGAATAGGGATACAGGCTGATATTCCTGAAAATGTGTCAAAATGGAGGAATCTGCACAGGTTGAGATCAAACTGGAACTGCTGTATCTTTAAACCCTGCCTTCTAGAAATCTAGATTCTGTGTTCGCAGGCTTACAAAGTGGATCATCTTGCAGGAGCTGACTCTGTCATTGAAGCCAGTCCAGCTCTGGTAGTCCGGGTACTCGCCTCTGGCCAGGACGTACTGGTAACCCGAGAAGTTCGGTCTCTCGTAGATCACCCAGGTCCCGCTCTCCACGCGGGCTGAGTTACAGCGACTCAGGTAGGAGTGGAAGTCGGTGCAGTCACTGTCACACTCATACCTGCGACCTTGGTAGTTCTTGTCCTCATAGAAGATGATCTGGGGGGTGGTAGGTGAATGATATCTGATAATAAATCATTCAAAAATCTGTGCTTGGAAACGCTAACTCATAACTGTAATTTTATGCAACTCTGAATCTCACTTCTACTCACCCTGCCCATCTTGAAACTAGCTGTGCTCCACCCGTGTGTTATGTGTGTGTGTTATATAATGTAAATACTATCGATGTGTGTGTATGTCTGTGCTCATATGTGCCCTCGTTCTCTTTTATACCTGCCGAGCCCTCTGTAAATGGTACAACTGCTTTGTCATGAGAATGAGATCCAAAATTTGAGTCAGTGTTTCCATTGCTGCTCATGTTTTCCAGAAAGAGGCTGTGGGATTACACTGCATAAAGACCTCAACCACTGACCAACCGTAAACACACCACACACAGATCTGCACAAACACAAACACACCCTGACATAAGTACAAACATTAAGGACCTCTATTTGATGATTATATAAATGCTACATTATAGTGGCTCTTTAACCAGCTAGGAATGTTGCACAAGACTGAACAAAACCTTCTGTCTTTTTGTGCACTTAGCTCAAGTCTCAGCTGGTATACACAGTACTAAATGTATGCATTGTGAGGACTGGTGTAGCTTTAGCTGCAGTTCCTCTAATAGCCACTAGATGCCAGTGTTTCTTCTCATTGATCCTCTTATCTTAATGTGAAGCCAACCTTGTCCTTAAAGCTATCTCTTTCTACTTTCAGGATACCTCACTTTGATTAAAACTCAGAATATGTGGACTGCAAAAATGAGTGTGTATTACCTTAGTGCACCTTTATGCACATAATGAAAGCATATTTTGTAATCAAATGAAATAGATAGTGAAAAAAAGATTAAGAAAGTCAATTAAAGTCCCACCTCCATGCTAAAATCTGTTATTCTTAGTGTCACTTCCCTTCACTTCCGTATGCTCTAGATGATTTGGAGTCAGTCATGGCCCAAAATGCAACTTACACAAGTGTGACGTGGAAACCTGTGCACACAGTGACTTCTCACTGAAGTGGGAGACATCTGGTGTTCAGCAGTTCAACTTTTGAAATTAATATTCAGGATTCTTCAATAACAGAGAAGGAGGAAAAAAACTTACTACACACAAAATATTATTCAAAGCAGAGCGTTTACACGTCTTCAACCATGTCTGGTGTGGATCTTTGAATTATCAGGATGCTACTTACACATGATTACAAGAGGCACCACAGTGGGGCAGCATTTCCACAGTGAAAAGAGAACAAGCTCTTCACACAGGTCCAAGTTTTCTATCGTTTTCTAAGTGATATGTCTGAACATAGAACAATCTCTATGCTGAGTGGGATGAACTTAGAAAATAGGGCATATATGAATCATGGACAGAAAATAAATAACCAATAATCAATCATTTAAGGAAGTGCTCAAGCGAAAATATCAAACATTTGATGTTTCCTCTTTTACTTGCCTTAACATAATCGATCAGAGATCTTTGGGCTTTGGACTGTTGGTTGTACAAAACCCAACATTTGATGACGACTCTAGGAAACTAAAGTAGATTTTAAATTTTTTTCTCCACTTTTTTCACAGACTGGACGATTAATGGATTTATCAGTCATGAAAATAATCATTACCTGCAGCCATAGTACATGGCATTTCAATTAAAATGTCACACATTTCATACACAATGAAACTAAGCTTTAAAACAACTTTTTCTCACCAGTGGACACTGGTGACACACTCCTGCCACTCCACTCCACACACATCTCAGCCACCACTGTAATCAGATATGCTACATGGTACATGGTGGTTTGAGACCGTAAATGCATTCAGAGCATCAATATTTGCTGTTACAGGTAATAGAAGCTGGCTTGATTTCACTGGAGCCTTGTGAAAGCACTCTTTAATTGCAATGCATACCATCACACACACACACCTCTTGCTCATGGTGAGCGACTTGTGGTGAGCTGTCAAAGACTCTTAGGATGATGTAGGACAGACAAGTGTTGGCAGTGTGTGCACAAACACACACACACACAGAAACCACAGAGGAGGAGCGACAGGAAGGCAGACAGCCTGAGTAGTAATGATAGGTGACTATTCTTCCATCTGTAAATCAAGGAGAGCTGACCACTACTGGTGAAATCTAGGCCTGCTGTTGGGAAAGTCACACAAATAAACATATAAGTGATGGATGGATAAAATATGTATGAAACAGATTTCACAATAGAAAGTCAAAGTTGGTGTTTTTCATTTCATGTATCTGCTCTTAAGAACAGGTCAGATTTCACTCTGAACTGCTTCTGTTTCGACCTGTGAGACTCTAAACTCTAAAAATGGAACTCCTGTCTGCACCAGCTTCCAGCCAACACTCACCTTCATCAATTGTTTTTATGGATTTATAATCTGAGTAGTCATGTTGTCATTGTTAACCCATTTTTACACATTTCTCCAGATTATCTGCATCGTGTGCAGGGCCTCAGGTAAGGTAAGTACAATATGAAAATATAGGCTCCGGGAACAAACACAAAAAAAGTACTAATCCGATAATACCTAAATTATATTATGTCTAAATCTAAATTGAATTATTTAACTGTGCAGAAAAATGCCTTTTTGTCAAGTTGTGCTACTATGGCAAAAATACACTCATTTATTTATTCCCCCCAAAAGAAGAAAGAAGAAAAAAAGATTGTCATGTACATATACTTGTCTTTTTGTGGAAAATACGGTGCTTTTTCCAATAGCTGCTCTTATATATTATATCTTATATAAAAAATAAACAGGAAACTGCAAAGGCACATTTTAAAACTTACAAAAACATAGTAATAGTATATAAAAAAAAGGGCATCAAAGGGGCAATAAATAGTGGGTGGACACTTACTTAGATCTTACCACAAGTGCTGTTCATGTATAATCAAAGGTGAAACTCAAATCAGGTGATCCAAGATAAGCAACCTGGTCTAAATTATCAGATGTAAGTGACAGGACTAGAGTTAGGGCCATGGTTGCCAAGCGTAGTGAAGGAGGAAGGTCTTACAGGGACAGGACGGTTTGCCTGGAATGTTCAACTCGGGGCAAAAAATTCCCCAAGGCATATTTTTGTCCCGTTCAATCCTTTAATTTGACTTTTTTTTTCTTTTCACCACTAGGCGGCAGACAATCAGCTTCACTCAACTATTATGTCCTTTTTGTAGAATCATATTCTGATTATATATAACTTCTGCATATCTCTTCAGTGCAGAGTCAATGAGCCTTACACAGTCTATAGATCTGTAATCTTATGTATCTATTTAGGTACAAGAGCTGTGACGTTGTGATCATGATGAACATTAATCACCTTTTTCTAAGCTCACACTCTTTCCACTTCTTCTCCTCTTCCTGTTCTCTGCCATCACAGCATCTGGGAAATTAATTATCCTTTCTAAATTTGTGATCACATTATTCATTTGGCTTTTCTAGAAAAAAAATAGATTTAGCTCTTTTCACCCACAGCATCTTCCTTTGTATTTTTACTGATTTAAAACATTATATTCTACCTGAGGGTTTTCATTTCAGTTAACATTAAAGATTATTGTTTGATTAAATGTAACTATGTTTTTTTCATGTCTGTCATCCGTCTCTAGGTTTCCCTCCCAAACCCCATCCACTCCCTCCCTCTCTCCCTCTCTCTCCCTCTCTCCCTCTCTCTCCCTCTACATGTGTCATTTTACTGCTCTTTACTCAGCCGGCAGCAGCAGTCTGTCCTCAGCCCTCCTTGTCTTTATATCTCCTTGCCAGGTCTCCTCATCTGGTGCGTTCTTTTACAAAGGGGAAACGTTGGAAAATTCATATTCTCTCAGGCTGGATTCACTCGTTTTCACCAATGGATGGAGTTTACTCCCCAGCAAGTACAGTGACTTCTTAAAAAGTGAGTAAGCATTTACTGAAAAGTTATTCACCTCCAGGTATGTCGCATTAAAACTTGGCAAACTGTAATAAGATGTTTAAAATAAATAAGTTAAAATGTAAAACAAAATGATTATGATGCAGATTCTCAGACATGCCTGACAATGAGATTATGACTTATGTTCATTACAGTTTGGAGCAATACAGAACTTATTTCATGGGGAAATGCTCTACTGGAGCTAAACTGCTTTGTTTTATTACCTCGTAACCATAACCAAATGTAACCTTGACCATAAAAACATACTTTTTTGGCTTTTTGCATCATTGCTACAAAACACAGCTGCCACTTTTTATGAGATCTGATATGAACATTTGTAGAAAATGCAGTTAATGATCGTGAAAATACATAACAAGTTGTTGCATTATTCAACCTTTGGTACACTTACACTTGATGAGTATTTAAGTAGAGTTAAAAATGTTAAGGAATTACATATGTGGTTTCTCTAATATAAATAGCACTCGTTCTTTCTTTGACAGTGCAGAACGCAAACAAAGTGTGGATGTTTGGTTTTGCTTCTATAAAAATACTTCTAACTCGTGATCACGCTGTCACATCCTTTCTTCTTTACACAGACCTTGCATTGGCACTAGGGGTCACCAGTAATTTGAAATAAATCTAATTTTCTAATTAGATTTTAGATTTTGTGATGGCAATTTATTTCAAAGACTATGATATTCAGTGTGTTGTTTTCACATCCACCAAATACAAATACATGCCCTCACTGAAAAGGATAATTGCTAAACTTTAATGTTATGAGGAAAATGGAAAATGTATGAGCAAAATGGCTAGTAGATAATTTATTTAATGCATTGTTACATGCAATGTATGAAATAAGAAAAGTGAGGACTTTACTGTTTGGAGATAAAGGAATCAATTAACACAATTTAATTTGCTTTTGTTAATATTTATGGTTTTGATTACTGAATGCTTTTGACTTTTAAGGTGACTTGTAAGCTGCATTCGTTGCTTCTGGGACTCCTAAACTTTCTACTGTATAATGTTGTCTTAAATTAAAAAGCTACTTCAAAGCTATACAGGACATTTGCAATTAATTATTAGGAAACCAAACAAAATGAAACTTCTTCTATTGCACTTTTACCACGGTCCCCAAGAAGCTACATTACATACCTGGACATGGAGAGAAATAGACAGAAAAAAAGAATGGAGTTTGGTAGAATCCAGGACTAAGAGCTTCTAGTTTACAAAGTGTTGTTCTGTTAATGCCAGACTCAATTGAATATTCCTAGAAACTAATATCGCCTTCTTTTAAGCGACGCAAATCATTGTTGAAGCATCAATCATTTTAATGACGTGCAGTTTAACTGACCCTCTTCACAGACGTGTCATTGGTCAAACACAGCTGCAGCTAATAAATTTAATAATGAGCAGAGCTACGTTTGATTTACTGAGCCATTGAGCATTAACAATGGGACACCGTTTTGTCAGTGCTCATTGGCATATATTGTCAGTGGTGGTTCATTTGGCACACCTGAATCAAACGGAGCTATTATTAGCCTAATTTCATTAGCTGCACCTGTGTTTGCCCTGCTGTCACAAGTCAAGTGAAAAGGCTCTGCTTTTAGAGCAGCTAGTATCAGTAAACTGCTGCTGCTGATAGCAAAGAAAGCACAGGGAGTCCAGTTGTAAAAGTTGAATCGTTACGACAACAAAGTAAGTAATCATTTGTACATGGTGGTAGTCAGTGTTTAAGATATGTGTGCATTTACAGATAATGCATCATACCAAATGAACAAATTATGATTTTAGATGCATTTAAATGAAATAGGTTGCATGCTCATGCCAGACAAAGTAGAGGTTACATCTCTGGTTGAAACAAGTTGGAAACTCTGTGCCTTAGCATCATTTAAGCCACTTAATTATGAAGATTATAGAATATAATATTATCAGCATTTCATGAACAAAATATGACTCAATAATATTATGTTATAGTGTAATATGATATGGTACAAGAACAGAGGAATGAGCTCTTTTGAAGTTAATGCTAGAATAATGTTGCACTGAACAAAAAAACAGCAAAGTTTGATGAATATTAATACTGTTCCCACTATCTGATAGGTGACTTAAATAAGCATATTTTACAGGGGAGAAAAAAGCAAAGAATATAAATAAAGACTTCAAAAGGAAAGCTGGAAATGTACATCATCTGCAGCTATTTTCACTTCAGTTTAAAGTCATTCTCATTGTGAAAGACTGGACGTTTTAAAGACACTGTAGGATAAAAAAGTTTTCTGTTCTGAGAGTGACATGGCAGTATCCCATTCAGCTTCTCCCCTCCGAGCTTCAGATTTACATTTAGTGATTCCTCGTGGATTGGATGTTGCGGAATATTATAAACCTGGAAATTTGAGCTAAAGCTTTGCTATTGTTGTTGTTCGACCTAAATAGAACGTGCGTTTGTGGCGTTTTGTATGTATGAAGAGAGAATGCTGATGTTTAATATACTGTATTCACTGTATCTGCCTGATTGTCTGCATGAGTCCCAGAGTTGATCTGATCTTGATGAGCCAGACATCAGTTGTTTGAAAGTAGATTGTGGCCTGCAAGAATCTCATGAATGATATTGTAAGCGCAGTTTGTTCCTGCTTCTGGTATTAAATCAGTTTGAAGTGTATTACTATGAATTTGTAGTTGAAGGGTTATTAGTATATTCTTAACCTTGCATCTGATTGAAAGTTAATCAGCTACTAATTGAAGCAATTCAGTACAAGTGTTTTAGTAAGAACTCACTGTGAGGCTGGCTGCATCATTTGATCAGACTTGAGATTGTGCGTCTTATTGTCTACATGCTTCTGTAATGTCCATGAACCCACCATTAATTTCTACTGAACCAAACTGTCGTCTTAATTTTACCTGGGATGTCCTGGAACCTTCTCAAGGACCCTGTGAACTCTCTCAAGGGCACTTGGGTGTCATCAAACTCCACTTCAATATCCCAGTTAACTTAATTACAGTTAGCCACTAAAATGCAGTTAAAGGCCATTAAAGCACTCTTAAACACCTCAAGAGACGCCCTAAATCAGACCCTGCCTACATTAATCTGCTGTTGTGCAGCCGGCTGAAGTTTCCTGTGTGTTTCTATGTGATTTGTCAGTTGGACGCTACTGAGTGTGACTGTACATTTGGTCTCCATGTGTGCTGGAAATGTGAACAGGAGTCTGTGCTGGGAGTGTGTGGTCTCTTGGCTGTGCAACCCCCTGAATGTGTTGAGTGAAGTGGTCTTGCGTGTGTGTGTGTGTGTGTGTGTGTGTGTGTGTGTGTGTGTGTGTGTGTGTGTGTGTGTGTGTGTGTGTGTGTGTGTGTGTGTGTGTGTGAGTGAGTGAGTGAGAAAAAGATAGGTTCAAGTGTAGCAAAGGTCTTATTCTTTTTTTTCACCTTTTCTGTTTTTTTAACTGATATTCAAGTATTTATAATAGTGTAGCACTTAGTTCATCACCATCACCTTGTGTGGAACAGAATGGGGATAAACCCAGAGTTTAAATTGGAACATAATGAATCCATTCAAGTTGAAGACAGGACACATAAACATAGAGTGACCTGTGTCTCAAAGAAATTTACAGACTCAAAGTAACAGTACGAAAAACAAAACCTTAATGAAATCATCGTAGCAGCATTTTATGCATGAAGGAAAAGACTTTTATTATGACATTTTAGACTTTGAGCTGAAACTTTAACTTCTGATCGAGCGCCTGTTTTGAGGAATCAGGATAATACATTAAACTGGATAGCAGCACAGTAAAGATTCTTTAAATCTCCTTCAGTCTTTGACCCACTGACACCTGCAGTAACGTGGTATCTTCCCTGGTGATGTGGCTGCCTTCATTTTCCTTCCAGTCAGTAGTAGGTGGCTCCTCATCAGAGGTGGAGAGGTCGTTGACGGAATAGGAAAACAGGAAAAACATTAAAAGATGCTTTTTTTCTCATTAATTATAGTTTCCTTTTTCACAACTAAAATAGCATAAAGAAATATCACTCTTTAATTGACCTGGTCACAAACCACAGGCACTAAGTTAATCAACCAAAACTAATCGGCAACCGTTTTGATTGATTTATTCAATTTAGTCATTTTTCTAGCAATAATATCAAGCATGACTGTAGACTGAGCATTTTGACTACATAATCTCACATAATCCCCATTGTTTTCTGACATTTTTCATAAAACAATTAACTGGCAGATTAATTGATAAAACATACCTGTTAGTTGCAGCTCTAGTCACAAGGAGACATTGCTTTGTTTTAAGGTGTCACCAGCCAAAACGATTGGGAACTGCTGCTGTTCACCCTGTATGAACCTAAACACCCTAAAGCACTTTTAAAACTGGCACTTTAACCTAAGTCACTGATGCTTAGCAGATCTAATGTGCTGTAACAGAGAGACAAACTAAAGAAACACTTGAGCCTCGCTGCTCCACGATTGATCAGACGCTTCTCATTAACTTCTCAAGCCGAAGGCAGCCATGTTCTGTACTGTAAGTTTGTCTTATGTGCACAGATTGCTCCGAGTGTTTCTTTCAAACACCACAGCCATTTTTTCCCCCTCATTAATGACTTAAATATTGCTCTGGTTAAGGGAGAAAATATGAAGGAGGGAAGGGGGCTGATTATAATCTATCGCCCCAAATATTCCAAAAATGTGTTTATTAAAAACAGACTAAACTCATATTGAGGAAAAGGGAGAGAGCAGTTTATGTTTAGAAAGTTGACATGCAATTTAATCATTACATTCCTGTTGATCAGCTGCTTATGATTTGGTACAGTTTGTCAGAATATGAAAACAATGTAGTTTCATTGGCGTTGCGTTCTTGTTTGGTGTGTGTTGATCTGCGTAAATGACTGAGGGAAATAAAGCACTTCGTTATTTTCCTCCCTGGAGTGAAATTAAGCCCCAGCAGGGGGATTTCTCAGGGAAGAGGAAGGAGCTTCAGAGGTTTGTGGTTTTGGTGGACTGGAGAATGCTCAGTAATGATTAAATCTCTTTCATGATAATAGATTGATGGGTAAATTAGCAAAGACAATGTGGGATGGACAGCTGCGCCCAGAGGGACAGAGATGAGCAGCAGCATCGCCGTGGTGGTCGTTTAGAAGTAAAACTGCCTTTTAATCTGTACTGTAGAAACACATAGGACACATGCTGTCTAATGCAGCGTTTGCGTTTGCTTCTTGCCACCATCTTTGTCAGTTACAGGGGTCAGAAAATCCTAATTTGGTTTTAGGGGAGGACGAGGCCTGAGATGAGGTGGGACAAACAAGCAGACAGTGACTTCATAATCAAGCAAAACACCCGAAAAAAACATTATATTCACATGAACTCTAACTTGTCCTGAACTTTTTCTGCCATGACTGAAGCGTGCACTCAAAACATTTGGTTCTTAATAATTCTGTTTATTGTGTGGGGGGGGGCTACATCTTGGTTTTAACTCCTGGCTGTAGATGTGGGTCAGGTTAAGCTTTCCAGGAACAGAGCTGGTCGTATCAGGAGGAGGTGTGGAGCATCATGTTCTAGGTGTGAAGGGTCGTAGTCCTTGCAGCTGCACTAGAGGACTGCCATTCATTTAATTTGTATTGTATTGAGTATTGAGTTGGTGTTGTGCAGGTTGACAGTATAGGATTCTATTAATACAATTTGAGGCATGAGGCGTTTGTTGTTCTTTTCAGGCACTTTTCTATTATTAAGAACCAAGGCAAGTATATCAGAGCTTTCAGAAAAGCTCAGTTGTAGTTGTTGTCCTTTTCCAGTTCACTTTTATTTTAATGCTTAATGACAGCTTTCCAAATTTGACTGAAGCTGTTGAACCTTCAGTGTTTTAGATTCTCCTGCTGCCAGCTGTTTTGTAGTATGTCACTCCCTTGTATCAGTGGAGCATGGAGTGCAAATTGAGAAATGCAAGTTCACTTACATAAAGCTGCAAGGGGTGTTGAAGTGGGGAAGGGCCTCGCTATGCTTCATACTGCGAGATATTTATTCATTATTTCTTTTCTTGTTTGTGTTGGACAGGCTTTTTTTTATCGTCAGCAATTAATTTTGCATGTGTGTTTTATTATAATCATGTGTCGCTTTTGGGTTCGGATTCGTGTGTTGCTGCCGGCTTTACAGTCATGCCAGTGGAAACCACACAGTGTGAGGCGAAAAACACAAAGCAGAGAGAGCAGTGCTCACAGTGCAGGGTGTAGCCATGCGTGATGCATAATGTTCATTTATATTTTTGCTGACTTTTGAATGTAAAAGACATGACAGCACAACAATGCAAAGACATCTTTTTTATATATATATATATATATATATATATAGTTTTGAAATACTTGTAAACACGATGCTTTACATGCTTCTGTGTGTGAAGATGACACAATCAAAGGTTTGTCTGTGTGAACATATGCAGCAGTCTAACCACATAGACACCTTAGAAACAGCCGTGATGTCCTCTTCATGTCGTGCTCTTGCGTTGTTTCCTGTGATGGTTGTGGCCTGCTGTGACCTGTCAAATGTTCTCTTAAAGGAGCCGTGTGACATTTTGGGAAATACACTTTGCCTCCTCACTGAGAGTGGGATGAGATGATTGATAACACTCTCGTGTTTGCACATTAAATATGCAAAACGTAAATGTACAAACACTGAAACGTAAAAATGATACGTGCTGAACCTGTGACCAGCGACCTGCAGTCCTGGTCCTGTTGAGTCAGGTCACGCAGTGTCATAAATTCCATGTCATATTGTGACTTGTTGGGTCATGTCCTGTTGTGTCTCGCGCTGTCATGTCACGATGCAATGTGTAACACCGCCATGTTCTGCATCCTTTCATGTCCTGTCTTGTTACTGCACAACAACTTATACAGCCAAAAGCACAAAGTCAAGGCTTAAATCACATCCATTGTTCTTCAATGACATGACAAAAAACATGTATAAAAGAGATGGAAAGATATTAAATATTTAGAAAATTCTGCTTTAATTAGCATAAGTAATGACCTCATTAGCATACGTGGATACATAATGGTGACTATGGTCAAACAGTATTCGAAATCTCTTAGTTCATCATCTTTTTTTTTATACGATAAAGTTTTATTGTGTGCGACTTTGTTACTACAGTATACAGAGTTGTCATTATAACGTGTCGTCTACTTCTCTGTGTATAAACAAAGGATAATAAACTTGTCTGTATTTAGTCTGTGAGTGAACGCCACTTGTCGACCTGTGATTTGTCTCAGACAGCTCTGACTGTCTGTCTGTTGTGGTCGTCCCTGCCTCTCTTGTATGTACATAACAGAGAAATGTGTTCGTTGTATTGGTCGGGGAGGGAAGGTAGAAAGAGGCAGTTGTTGATGGAGCAGTCTGTAATGTCTCCACACTGTCAACAACGTATGAAAGATGCTTGATCAACTGTAGGAGGACGGTTTCAGCCTGCTTGTTTTATTTCTGTCAGTTCTGAGTTTTCCAGTTGGGAAGATTTACTGATCTAGAAACTGCGTACTACTGTAAAATATACATGTTATCTGTTTTCAGTAATTAGTCCATTCCTGCTCTCATCAGAATTTGACATAAAAAACCTTGTAGCATCTTTTATTCATTTATATCTAACTGTGTTCATCTTAAAACATTTCTAAAATAAGTAGTAGCCTGTGTACCACTCTTTGTGTCATTCATGGTACTTTGTGTGATTATCCCTGTAGCTTGACTGTGACTTCTTCTGTTTCCTCCCAGCTTCGCACATTGTGCTGGGCGCTCCTCCTGAAGCACTCGGTGGGATGGAGCAGCGTGGAGGTGCAGGGGGGGGAGCAGAGAACCCCGGCCTTCGGGACAGCGCCAGTCCAGAGGAGAGAGGGGAGAGCCCCACCTCCAGCTGCCCCCCGCCGTGCAAGTTGAGCCGCGTGGATATCAACGGCAGCCCAGCAAACCCACAGACCCGGCAGAACGGCACACAGCTGAGACCACTGGGAGGTAAGATGCTAAGACACAAACACTTGCTTAAATCCAAGAGTAAGGTCATTTTTAGTATTTAGTGTGTTTGGAGTGAAGCAGCTAAAAGCCAGTATTTGTCCATATTAAGACATTAGATATGCAGTTGTAGCTTGCAGCTTGTTTGTATAGTGGACATGGACTACACTCCACTGGTTTTTAGTACTTTATTGCACCCACATAATTTCCCCACAGTGTTAGAGAAGCAAACACACTAATTAGCTGATTAATGCATGAAAAACACATGAAAAACAAAACATTGCTTTATAATTGATTAAGGTAACTTGGAAGAAACAGAGGGAGGAATGTACGTACCTTCCCAGGAAAGAAGTCCCGGATGAAAGTTTCATTTTAAAACACTTAAAACATTAACTCACATAGCAAAATAAACAGATTCTAAAATATATAAGCAACACTTTATAAGAATTGTAGGAAAAGTAGTAGTAGTAGTGGTATTGGACTGTACCTTTCAAAATAACACAATTACACAGAGTAATCTACCGGAGATACAGGCAGAATTTAGGTTCCACTAGTTCTCCCAAACACATAGTTCTTCAAGGGCTTATTATAGACACATGTAATCGTGATCATATAAAGTGCATTCAGCACACTGTGACCGCTTCTTCACACAGGTACTGTAGCTTCATAAGTATAGAGTTAAGTGGGCGAGAGGGGGCTGAATGCTTCATGGTCTGGACTCAGTTAGATGTTGAAAGTGTCCACACTGTTCCTCTTTTCTTCCACACTTGACCCCAGAGGCCTCTGTGGGATTTCAGTCTGTTATTCAATTATATCATAGTTTCCCAGTGCCCAAGATGAGTCTTAATATTTCTTATATGATCAACAGCCCATAATCCAAAGACGGTTTTATCAATTTCCAGTGATATGAAACCGAGAAAATCAACAATCCTTCATTATTAAGAAACCAGACACAGAGAATGTTTGGCATTTTGGCTTGGTTACTGATTTATACAGTGATGTTGATTATTAACATTGAGGTTGGGGAGAGGAGAGGATGTCATACAATAAAGCTCCACATCCAGGATTAAACCGTAGACATTTGTCCTGAGTTGATGCTCCAAAAGACTTTGGCGGGCCTAGAACTGTATATAAGGTAAAAGGAACATTGTATTTTATCGTGTGACCTTTATTATGTGTAGGGATGAATAAGCTTCAACCTAAGTTCTCCCTTTGCGACGTGTCCCGTCACATCCTGTCATGTCACATTACATTAGTATGAAGACTTACTGTATGTCACTCAGTATATGGTGCTGAAGTCTTAGCACCATAATACAGTCTACCAGGGACAAGACCGTGTCTACCATCCATGAGTGAGGTGGCCACACACACACACACACACATAGGTAACACACATTGTGCGTTGGTATGGCATGCACACTCTAAAATACCTAACATAGGAAACACTCATGCACAGATGCCCATTATTCTCTCATGCATTTGAAAACATCATCATGCATGATCACGTGAGGTGGCCAACAGTACACACACACACACACACGCACACGCACACGCACACACACACGCACACACACACACACACACACACACACACACACAGACATTCTGCTGTGTTGCCTCCCTCCACCCTTCCACTGAGTGGCTGGCTTATTGGCTGATAGTGTGCCTGATGCTGCTGTGGTTTGGCTCCGGCTGATCTGTCACTGTCCTGTCAGGAGCAGGATTGATAGCTTGTTAATTACCAGTTCCTGTGGGACACAGCACTGGATTGGATGGGTGTGAATGGTTCCAGGTTTGGAGGAGCTCTCCGTACTTGTCCGATAACAAGTCTAGACCAACGTCTTGTTTAGGAACCAGCTCCACCGCTGGAGTGATGGCATCGCTCCTGAGTGCTAGATGATATAGATATTATATCCAGCAGCACTTCAAGAGCGGTTATGGGTTTTAACATGTGGTGCAAACACAAATACAGTTGAACAAATTTCACACTGACTTATGTTCACATTGGCAGCTGCCCAGTTTAACCAGTCTTCCACTGAGACCACCAAGCAGCTATACTGCAGCGACACTGGAGAGACAGATATTTGTTGAAAACTGCTGCTGTCCAGCTCAGTTTCTGTAGGAATCCCTTTCACGCAGATCATATTCAAAATGCTGAAACACGGGTGACAAAAAAAACTCTAAAGATCCTCCAGAGAAGTTCCTCTCCGCCAGGTTTGTGTACACTCAGTAGAGCTGAAAAGATTTGTAGGTTATCAAGGGTTGTTTGGTTACTATATTGAATTTTGAAAGGGTTTTTTGTATTTGATGAAGTTTCCACTCAGGAATGACTGCAGTGTCTACACTTTATCTCCAACTGATTTTTATCTGTAAAATCTTATTGTGATACTGAAGAACTACACAAAGAAGCCTCAATGCTCATCCCAGTGCAGCTCAGTCTTCTGTAACTCTGGGTGAATCTCTGTCTGCCAGGTCTGATGATCCCGGTCTACTGTGTGGTCGAGCATGCAGACGTGGGCGTGGCTGGCGACTGTGAGGGGCGCGGCGACCGTCACGCTGAGTTTGTCTTGGTTCGGAAGGACGTCCTGTTCACACAGCTGGTGGAGACGGCACTGGTCGCCCTCGGTTACTCGCACACCTCCGCTGTACAGGCACGTGGTAAGTAGTGTGTGTGGGGTTGAGTGTGTACAGGGTGCATGTTCAAATCCACATATTGATGTTCACCTCTGCTTTAGAAGAGAAAAAGTTCATCACACAGATGGTATATAATACAGTTTCAAGAAATCCTCTTTGATAATGAATCAGTCATACTGTAACCCTGCCTGACAAATATTTCAAGTAAGACAATTTTATATTTTTTAAAAATTCAAAAAGCTGTTTGTCCAATTATTTATGAACTAATTTCTCTCTCTTCTCTAAACTCAATGGACTTGATGCTGAATCAAAGAAAAATCTGACAGTGAACTGAAAGGAACAGTTATCAAAAATGAAAAATCAATAACTAATAGATAAAAGGCATGTCTTCTTGATTGACAGTCAGGGTGGTTTCATCTTCCTCCTCAGCTCCTCCCAGTCTTCCTATATTTGCAAAATTAGTATTTTCTGGCACCAGGATGAGGGCGAGCAGTAAACCCAAATTTGAGCGTCAGTATTGAAACATCCCTGTTTTTCTAGTCATAGTCTTATTGTTGAAAAAAATTCATCAGCCTCCGTCTCTTAACATCATATCTGGGAAACACGGGTTTCTTAACTTTTCCATTATTACATGCTAATAGGAAACATGTCATTTTTCAGTCTTTTTACCACATTGTTTGGTAATTCATGAGTAATTAATTATTTCCAGCAGCAGCTGAATAGAGCATAACTGCTTTCCAGATGGGTGGGGTTTTCCACATGGGTAAAATGAGCACTGAAATGTTTAGGCGATCACAGGGAAGTTATTTACCAAGAAGGTATTTTAAAGATAAATCCGTCTGCTTCCTCATTTATCTGCTGATTCACTCCGCCTACCTGACAGCAAGAAAGTTGAAAAGAAAATAAATGTGTATCTGCGCATCTCAGCCCAGCATCAGAACTTCTTTTCTCATCATTTTGAAATCAAAACAAGAAGGCAGACAACATCCAGTCAGCCGTGAAACAGCAGCCTACACACACACACACACTCACACACACATAGAGAAAGTAGGGCAGTTTGACATTCCTGGTGAGTCCCCATAAACACAGGGCACTGTAACCAAATGGCCGACGCCCTGCGACCCCCCTCGCCTCTCCCAAATAGCTAGGTTTTGTTCTGAGAAATAAGCCTTTTCTTTTCAAATAAATAATTTTTGGCTGGAGTCGTGCATTTTTCCCCCCGTGTGGTCACAACCAAAATTATACAGAGTCTCTGCTATTTTCCTCTGCGATTGAATTGCATCTTGCATAACTTTGGCTGGACGAGTATTTTTAAGCTCTTAACTGGCACAGGGTTTTTTGGTTGTTGTTTTTTTAATTAACTGGCACATTATGGCTAATTAAAAAGAAGCTATTTTCTTATTTGGAGTATATGGTTTTATGCTTTGGGTTTAACACAGGCTTAGGTGAATTGCAGAGCAGAAAAAAATATAACAATTTAATTTAAGGCCGTGTTTTGAAGCATTCACTGATTACTCATTTAAAAATATCCATTTACCGTATTTTGAGCCCTGAAAACCACCAGTGGATCCCAGAAACAAACCAAATCTTATTTTAAAAAACACACTGCATTTCAGACAATTTATCTCTGAAGCAAATTATTTGAAACATTTTTAAATAGCACCAAAGCTCAACACGAGACAGAGTGAAATATTTGTAAACTTTTTTATTCATTCTCTGGGACAATGTTTTACATAGTGTGCATTTTGATATTTTTATATATATATATATATATATATATACTGTATATATATATATATATACGAGCAGCCTGATAATCAGACTAAATTGTCATTTAATTTCTCCTTCAGTCTCACATTTATGTTTGTCAATTTTGCTTTAGATGCGGGATAGTTTTGCCCAAACCAATCAGTAATGACTGATTTGACTGAAATATGTCAATGTAAGAGTTTTCTGCAAATTAATTTACAACAACCTGTCTCATCCATGTCTGTTACCATTTTCATATAGCACTTCTTCTTTGACAATTTTTCTGGCTCTGCCAAATATTCCAGTCTAAACCTATGAAGCTCTGATTTGCTTGGTTGTTCCTCAACCAAGGAAGCACCAGTCTGTGAAAAAATAAAAAATGTAGCATTGATTCAAAGATCTGAAACCAGATTAATATTGACTGTCAGGTTTTCTTACTCATACGGTACATATCAACATCTAGTCTAACAAATACTAACTGATAATGGATTTTAGATGATAGAGTTTCATGTGGGTTGGTTGGTGACATGAGAATTGATAAAGCTCCATTGAATCTAAAGTATTCATCTGTATTGTCAACCTAACTGTTCTGTTTATTCAATGTATTTTATATAGTTAGACACTGAAAATTCATATCAGTGACAAGCTCATGACATGTCAAAATTTTAACAATCATCTCTAAAGCAAAGGCAGCTGTAGGACACACAATAATTGCCAGTTATGGAGAGAAATCTCCTGCTGTCAGACAGGAGAATAATGACCTCAATGTTTATTCAGTGCATCAACATCAAAATGCCGCTCTCGTTCGCAGCCTGCTCCGGTCTTTAATGTTGAGCTGATTTTACATTTCTCCTCTGATTAATCAGCTGTAGAGTCCAAAGAGAACAGCCTTTGTTCTTTTGCCCCTATCACCACCATCCTCATGCGATGAAGACACACACACACGATTGAGGCTGGCAGGCCAAGGCCGGGCCGGGTCTGTGTTTGATTTAGCAGGTCCTAACGCGATTATGCCTGTTTAGATTTGCACTTCCAGTCATGGTTGCAGCGAGGCCAGGGGAATGTTCTCCCCAGGATGATGCTCCAAGACCAAGAGAGTTTAACAGACGGGTCAAACAGCACGAGCAGGTTCAGTTTACATTGATCAGAAATAAGCAGCTAATGGAAACTAAATGTCCAGCAGCCAACAGAAGTAAATTTAGACTTCTAACAGACAGTTAACACGTTCTCGACCAGGGGCGAACCCGTTACATTTTAAGGCAGATCCAAATAATTTCCTATGATTCTGAATTTTTTCTTCTGAAGTCTGGGATATGTTGTATGACGTAGGCCTTGGTGAATGCATGCACTCAACTGGGCACATTTTCTAATTCATGCTGTACCCTGCATGTTGAAAAATGACCAAGCGTCCGTATGTGACAACTTGGGAGTGAGAATGTGTTGAATCAGCACCTGCTTTAATTGTGTGTGTGTGTGTGTGTGTGTGTGTGTGTGTGTGTGTGTGTGTGTGTGTGTGTGTGTTCTCCAGGCATCATCAAAGTGGGCCGCTGGAAGCCGATGCCCATCCACTACCTAACAGACGCACCAGAGGCAACAGTGGCTGACATGCTGCTGGATGTTTACCACATGGTCACACTGCGGATCCTGCTGCACAGGTCAGCTGTTCATGTGTGTCTTGCATATTGTTTATTAGGGTCAGAGGGTGGGATGTTGAGCAATATTGACATTTTTGGAATCAAGCTGCTACTTTTCTGATTGTCAATATCTTGAATTTTGACACTTTTCATATAAGAAAAATCATCCAGAACGGTAAAATATAAATTTTTCTTTTGTAAGGGTGAATGATAATGATACATCTTTACCCCAAGGCCCCCAACCCAGCTATTACCACGGCTGGATTAAAGCAGTGTGACTTCTGACTTAATCCTATTCAACCCAGATCTTATCCATTATGTAAAAAGGACATTTATGCAGCAAGTTCAACTTACGATATTTTAGTTTGAGTTTGATTCAGTGTATTATAATGAAGTCGTTCGTTAACGCAGCTTCGCTCGGCTGGAGGAGCTGCCATCAGAGCAGTGGACCCACGCCACGGTGAGGAACGCCCTCAAAGAGCTGCTCAGAGAGACCAACCAGAGCGCTCTGGCCAAGGAGTGTCCTCTCTCCCAGGTAACAACTCAAGCAGCACAGCAGCTACACACTGTCTCCAGTTCATACACCTGTTGTAGGTCCTGGTACTGGCACCATGTTCATCTTTGTTCGGAAAGTACCAGGACTGTGCATGCATGTAGCAAGTAATGAGAGATGGTTTTAAATTCTTTTTCTAAAGCTAAATGGTTAGCTCGGTTTGATTCTCTCTCTCTCTCTCTCTCTCTCTCTCTCACACACACACACACACACACACACACACACACACACACACACACACACACACACATATACACCGATAGCTGAAATGCTGCTAAGTATTTTCTATAAACACATGTGGTTTCATCATCAGTTCACCACACCTCGCTCACACAAACACATGCACACACAAATACCATCCCATGGGAAAGGATGCAAATACACACACCTCAATTATCCTGCTCACACACACCCTGCAGTCATTAGACCCAAGAGTATGTCATTTCGACTTGTGATTTATACACAGGACTTAGTCATGATGTAATTAGTGATTAGGGGAAGCGTGTGGGTGGTGTGTGTGTGTGTGTGTGTGTGTGTGTGTGTGTGTGTGTGTGTGTGTGTGTGTGTGTGTGTAGCCTGACTCATGTGAGTTTTAATCCTCAGTGTTTCCCATGTAGAGCTTTGACTCCTCACTGTGCATCTTCTGCTCTGAGGAACTGACCACAGTGTGTTGGGAAAGGGAGTGGGGCTGAAGGGTTTTAATAAGTGAATCGGTCAGCTCCTGTTACCAAATCTCATCACCCAGTCTCAAGGCACGGCCACTCCCTGCAGCAGGCCTCAGGTTTTCATGAACAGGCTTTTTGTTGAATTGTATGAAAGATCGTTTTGAGAATAAACTTGAATTAATAATTACCTCTTTTTCCTCTAATTCTGACTTCAGAGATTTTTTTATTTTCCACACTGTCCTGATCCTCTTCTTGAAAATATCTCATAGAAGAATGAAATGTGTCACAGGCAGCTACAATATCCTGGTCACATTTATCCGGGTCATTAAAGTTTGGTTGATTGTATTATTTCTCAGACTCTCCTGTATGTCTCTCTCCGTCAGAGTATGATCTCAGCAATAGTGAACAGTTCCTACTACGCCAACGTCTCCACCTCAAAATGCCAAGAGTTTGGACGCTGGTATAAGAGGTACAAACGCATCAAAGGTAACTCAATGTCTCACTCTCATCCATTTTCAAAGCTGTCTCACTTTTCACAGCTCTGTCATATTCCCAGCAGTCTGGTTAACTTTATGACACAAATTGAATCCACGATGCTTTCCCTATCTATCGGATACTTTAATTTCTCCCTGAAGAGCTACAGTGGAGATGCTCTGGGTGAAAGTCTCTGAGTATGGTGGTTGTATAACAGATAACAGGTCACTCTCTGCCTATACAGACTAATCAGACCAAACTGTAACTCATTAGCTGCAGATTCTGTGCCCCTAATATTTACCCCTAATGTGTTATAACAAGGCGGATATCTCAAACTCAAAACTACCACTGGAGACAAGTGACAAAGCGACCCCTCTCCCAGATTTTTGCGGCGCATATAAACACAACACTCACTGTAGTCTGACTCCTTGTGTGCATGTAAACGCATTTCAGTGGTTTATTGTCCTTCTCCTGCCTTGTTAAAAAACTTTACAGTTTCTGTGACCAACTCTCCTGCACTCGAACCATCAACTGTTCAGCTGTTTATACTTTATTTGCCTCATGTCGCGTTGAAAACTCATAAAGGTGGAGACTGTCACAGCTCTTTTAAAACCAAGACTCGGCGCTACTCGCAACTCGACTTAATGTGGCTCACCTGCCTCGCTGTCTTTTGTTTTTTGTGATGTAGTTGCTTTGAATATGATCCTTTTTAATGAAGTCTTTCCATTCTTCTGTCCACCCCCTGTATGTGTACGAGCATGTGTCAGCCTGTATGTGTCTAATCTGCAGCATGAGACGTCTGTCAATGACAGCTCTCAGTAGGAAGGAACTGTCACACATGGTTCACATTAATGTCACCCTTAATACACATGACAAAACTAAAGGCTCTTAACTCCTAATGGAAAACAGCAGCAACCACCCCCAACACACACACACACACACAACACACACACACACACACACACACACACACACACACACACACACACACACACACACACACACAGCACCAAAACCCAGGAATAAGAGCTCCTCTTACACTTATTCCACACACACACACACACGCATGCACACACACACACACACACACACACACACACACACACACAGACACAGGGAAGGTAAAAATCTGAAGCCCTGCCAAGCCTCACTCCAGCTTTTATTCCCTTAATAAACGAAAATGTGACTCTCAACCAAACCCAGTAGAAGCATAATAAGAAGCAGATTTATGTGGAGACGAGCAGAGAGGCTGTTTAAATCCAGGAGAAAAGACCGAGTTCAGCGCAGAGATACAGTGGAAACGTTCTTCACTTACTTGATAATCTTGTCTTGAGAACTCAGAGCCGGAAAGTGAAATAGACTTTGTGGTCATGAGATCATCCGTCGAACCGCTACACCAACCTGTCACCGTGAACAGAATACAAGGTTTAGTGGAGGAGACGCGAGTCCACACTGTATGATGTGAAAATTAAATATTACCTCAAATAATAATGTATTAACAGAGCAGATATGATATGAAAGTGATTATGTTTGTGTATTTTCTTCTGAGCTGTTGTCTTTCTATAACAAATGAGAGTTTTATAATGGTTCTATACAGGAAGAAGAGCTCCTGCACTGAGATGACAGACTGTGTTGAATATATTTATGTAGGAATAACTGACAGACTTCCTGCTCTGATTTTTTTCTCCTCAGGTGAATACATTGAGAAGATGTGGTCAGCACAGGAGAAATCAGACATAAAAGGTACATTCCTCTTTATTTTTTTATTCATGTATTTAATTTCTATGCGCCTTGTGATGGTCGTGCTGCTGGGTTGAGCTTCAGTGACCAAATGAGTGGAAAAGAAATAGGTCACTTGAGGGCTGTCGATAGGGAAGTGATGACTTTTCCACTAGAATAAATCTGATGCTTTACTTTTTGGAAACGGCTTTGATTTTTACATCAGCTAACATCTGACAGGATGAATCGTTACATGTTAAGTGATTTTTGATGCGCAGCACACAGTCATTAATGAATGTCCAACTCAATATCAGCTGTTTTAAGAACCGTTAACCTTTTATCACAAAGTATAACATAAAAATGTGTGTGTGTTGACGCAGTGGAGAGGGATTTGGACCTGAGCGTCATCAGCCAGCGTCCTCCCTCTCTCTTACCCTCACCCACCCATTTGGGCACCATTGGTGGCTCTGGAGCTCTTCCCATCAAGAGTGGCCTCGGGGACACCCAGACCCCCACCCAGCCTCACTGCCTGCCCCATCCCGCAGGCCAGCACCACCCCAGTCCTCCACTGCGTCCCCAGGCCCCACCGCTCCTGGGCCACAGCGGTCTCCTGCCCCCCCAGCTCTCCCCTCAGCTCGTCCGTCAGCAGCTTGCCATGGCCCACCTCATCAACCAGCAGCTGGCCGTCAGCCGACTGTTCGCCCACCAGCACCCACAGGGAGTCAACCAGCAGTTCCTCAACCACCCGCCCATCTCAAGGACCTGCAAGGGCTCCGGGGCCGCTACTGAGCCCGGCCTCAACTGCTCGGGGGCCGAAGTGTCCTCTGACATTTACCAGCAGGTCAGGAACGAGCTGAAGAGGGCCAGCGTGTCCCAGGCAGTGTTTGCCCGCGTGGCTTTTAACCGCACGCAGGTAAACTGAATAAAATGACCTCACTGTTTACCAGAGGTGATGTAATGAACTTCATTCCCTAAAACATAACAATGTGATTTATTTGTACATGAGTAACTCTGTGTGTGTGTGTGTGTGTGTGTGTGTGTGTGTGTGTGTGTGTGTGTGTGTGTGTGTGTGTGTGTGTGTGTGTGTGTGTGTGTGTGTGTGTGTGCGCACGCGTGTGTGTGTGCGCGCTACAGGGCCTGCTGTCAGAGATCCTTCGTAAGGAGGAGGATCCTCGCTCTGCCTCTCAGTCGCTGCTGGTCAACCTGAAGGCCATGCAGAACTTCCTCAACCTGCCAGAGGGCGAGCGAGACCGCATCTACCAGGAGGAGAGAGAGAGGAGCACCAACACCAACCACAACCACACCACCAACCACATCTCCAACGCCAACACGCACAGACACACACAGGTACACACACTCCCACGGGACTGCACAATAACACCTTTCTAATACCACACACAGTAGTTTATCACCTCATTAGCTTGATGTAGCCTGTTGCACATATTTGCACTGACACAAACATTAACACATACTTTAATTAGAATATATAAATAACAAAATGTGCAGAAAAACTAAAAAAACATTTATTTTCATGCAGTATGAAATAAGTAAACGAATCAAGATACTGTACCTGCAAATTAGAAGAAAAAAGAACCTGAGCGGGGGTGGACACAATAACAGGAACAGCAGTAATACCAGATTTCAAGCTGAGAATATAATAAACTGGCTGTTGTGCTGAATGTTTGGGGCCTAAATGTGAAGTTAGCTGCAGAAAATTACAAACCATCCACCCCTCACTAGCTCCTTCACACTGGCTTTAAAACAGTCAAATAACATATTGCATTTACAGAATCGTGATGTTGATGATTTTTGTTCTGTTACTGGTATTTTTGCATTAATGTTGCAGTTTGTTTCTGCAGTGGACATAAATAAATAAAGAAGTATTGTCACAAAGTAGATGAATAATATATTATAGCAGAGATCACCAAACCTCTTAAATATAAATCGGACACTAGTGAAATTGCGGTGAATAAACAGTGGATTTATGCAACACTTAATTTTTTTCATGTAACCAGGAAAGCCTCATTGAGATTTAAAACCGCTGTTTCAGTTTCATCTCAGTTTCGGTTTCCCGCTCTGTGTAGACGAAGTGCGGCGTGTCGGGTGCAGAGCTGCCGCTGAAGCTGGACTCTCTGGTGAACATCACGTCAGGGATCTACGAGGAGATCCAGCAGGAGATGAAGAGGGCGAAGGTCTCCCAGGCTCTGTTCGCCAAGGTGGCCGCCAATAAAAGTCAGGTCAGTTCCAACGAAACAGCTGTTCTTAAATGCTTAAATATACACTCCTTGATTTTATTATAGCAGATATAGAATTGCATGGATGGATACACTGAGATGAAACCTGAGCAGAGACAAGGGCAAAAAAGAGGGACTGAAGAAAATAGAATGAAATATATTCATCAAAACCTTTTCCAAACGTCTTATTTATCTATTTATCTTTCTGTACAGGGTCTTGTTGACATATTTGATTATATATTTTTTTATATATAAGTTTACATACATAAACATCCTGTAATACATACTCGCACACACTGGGTTCATGATGTTTGAAAGAGCTGATGAGGGTGTAACGGGGAGGTGTGTGACTGCGTGTGTGGGCGTGTGGAGGATCTGATTACCCGCTGTGGCATACCATCATGTCTCCATCCTCGGATAAACAATGCGGGTGATCGAGGGCGAGATCAAAGCCGAGTCTGCACTGGAGGGAGAGAGAGGGAGTAGGGGGGGTGGAGAGGAAGACGATAGTTTTAAAAGTTCTCACATTATTTTACAAACTTCATTGCCAACACAGGCAGAAGCTGGAGAGAAGGTGTGTATTAATGCTGAAATGATAAAACAGTGAATGGACTGAAATTGAGCGAGGGATGAGGGGAGGAACAGAATGGTGATGGAGGAACAGAAGGATGCAAGAAGGAGGTAGACAAGAAGACGGAGGGATGATCACATTATTACCATTAATTTCCAGGCTGAAGGCTGCGCATAAACAACAGCTGGTGGCAGATCCTGGGTCAGCCTAGCAGATATAATCCAATCTTCACACACACACACACTCGCTGCTCCCCTCAGACAACAGTGATGGAAACTGTTGGGCTTATGTCTGGCACTCTGCTCCAAACATACACAGAACAAATAAATAATCACATGCATCAGTCAACAACAGAGTCAAAGTCAAAACAGAAATGCAATTATAGCAACTTACCAGTGTTTTTCTGTCCTAACAGTGGAGCCTAATGACGGCAGTTCATTTGTCCATCCGCCCCAACGTTTAGCTCCAAAACAACATGTTTGAAAAAGTGCCATATAATGTATCATAGACGTTTCCAGAGGATGGGGATGAAGTGAAGATTTTAGCCTTAGGGTTTGTGTCTTTGTCTTTAAAAAACCAAAATTACCACAATGCGCCTCAGGGATCTTCAATCTCTTATTGATTCAGTCCCGCTGCAGGAGGTTTGATAACATTATTTTGCCAAATAAAAGAAATAACAAGCTTTTTGTCATTTTGTGACTAACTTTTGGTCAAAATTTTGGTTATGTGATTTTATTGTGCCACGCACATACAAGCATTCAGCCCACATGGACTTAGAAGGACTACTGCTGTCGTGGTGAGGCTTTTTTCAAGCCATAATTCAGGTTATAACTTCTTCCATGTAACATTACATTTTTCAAACAAAGAACTTTGTCTTCTGTCCCATAAAATTTGCTACAAAAACATCCCCCTCACAATTGAAGTTATAATCATCCATTCAGAAGAAATGGGTGTTTTACTAAAAAAGTGGAGGCCTTAATCATCACGTACTGAGCAACCAAACATGAACTAGACTTTGTCCTCAGTCTCTCCTAAATAACATAACAATCAAAACCTTTTCTCTTCAGGGAGATCATTAAACTGACCTGTTTTTAGAGTTACTGACAGTGTACTTGAAAGTAGCACAGAGCACACACACATCTTTGACTTTTGGTTAAAGTTTGTTTCACCAGAGCTTCTACACTGCAGTCGTCTTTCATGAGACAATATGTTTGCAATTTCAGTTTGTGCCAAACATGTAGAAACCATCTTTCATTATACATAGGGGAACAATTTGTGCTTTGAAGAAAAATCAGTTGTATAAAATAAAGATTTTACCTCACTAATCAAGAGATGTCTATGTTCAGGGACATTTTAAAGTTAGGTCACCTTCTTGCTGATTTTTCTTCTTGGTGGCTCGAACCTTTTTCCCTCCACGTGTGTTCCAGGGTTGGCTGTGTGAGCTGCTCAGGTGGAAAGAGAGCCCGAGCCCTGATAACCGCACACTGTGGGAAAACCTGTGCACCATCAGGAGGTTCCTGGCTTTACCGCAGGCCGACCGAGACCAGGTCTATGAAGACGAGTCGAGGCAGCAGCACAGCGACCGGGTCCACACCGTCCTCCACATCCCAGAACAGCAGGTACGACCATGCAGGCAGTAGCCAGGTTTGGCGGTCCTGTATGTGGAATATACCAAGTTTGTTTTTGTCAACTACGATGGTAAAGTAGTTATGGATCATCATTTAGTTTCTGCTTTTGCAAAAAAAAAATTATCAGTGTTTATTTTGAAGATTAAAACTAGTGAGGAAAAAAGTCGCAATCGCAGTGCAGCCTTGTGTGAGCAAAAAAAAAACAAACACTAATCAAAGTGTGTTTTTTTTTATGAGTGAGAAAATGTGGAAACCAGCATGCGATTGCTTGATGTTTAGAAAAGTTTCCTCTATCTCCCTCCGTGTCTGATCTCACCACCTGCTCCTCTCTGCAGCCCTTCTCTTTGTCTTGTTTGTGCCCCATAAGTCATTGAAAATAGAAGTGGTAAATGACCAGCCCACACATTTCCTGCTAAACACTCCTCCATCCCACCCTCTCCCAAAAAACCAAAATGCTCTCCCGTCTGGCCCTAACCTCAATATTATTCAGAACATAGCCTGTAATTATTGAAGCAGAGAAAAAGGAATTGCCATTATCTTTATTTAGGTCCTTTCATTTGGATGGACCACAGATTTATGGTGTTGGATTCCTGTGTTTGGGTGTGCAGGCCACCCCGCCCTGTTAATAAGCTCTAGTAGTGTGGTTGTTTGTGTGATGAATTTGGGAGTTTTTGCATGTTGGCGGGTGATGGAAGCTGGTCAATCACACTTCCGCTTGTACTACATTTCCTTGTAATGACTGTGCAGAGGGGCACTGAGAGAGTGGTTCACTTATTACTGCGGTGATGAAGCGCTTGTGGTTTCATCACACATGAGTCATGTTCACGTAGACTGTGATAGAAATTCTGAGTAAAATTATAGTTTCTCTACATCCACTTGTAGATGCCTCACTGCAGCAGTTGGATGTGCTGGTTCCCACACAGGCCCAACAGTCAAAGCTAAATTTGCCCCATTCTTCTCCATATGTCATTATCAGTGCAGCATGGCCTTTAATATTACAATAATGATATTGACAGGCAACATCAGGAATGTGGTGCTTTCATTTTTCCTCCAGACTGTTTTGAACACATGCACAAAGGAAAGATCATTTTTAAATCTGTTTAACAACTATTTTAAAAATCATATGACATGATACAACTCAATATTTGATATTGACACAGTGTGTAAAGTGCATAATGTAAATGTAGTAGGTGTGTAGTTATGTTTATCCTTTTTACTGAAGCCAAAGGTGCTAGGGTCGTACTGCATAAAGCAGCAACGTCAGCGTTGCATCACAGGCACAGCTGATGGTCTGGTGCTTTTAACTGCATCTCATGGCCTTCATCAGCATTTGGAGTCTGCATGAAGATGGTTCAGTTGTCATCATTTGAACTAAAGGTACACTGACCAGTGATCGGAAGAACATAATTAGATGAAGAACATATACAGATGAAGAAAGTGAGATTTGGTTAAAAGCTCCAGAAGAAAGTAGTAAGTTGTCCTTTTTGGTCTTTAAAATGCTGTAACATCCTTTCACATACCAAAATGCGTTCTTCAAATTATTCTGATTTTCTAAACAGGCACTCCACAGACAGCCCCTGCCACCTCTGACATCCCCATCTCCGATTCATGAAGACCCACAGCCGGTTCCCCTGCTGGTGTTGCATGCCTCAGAGGACGGGTCCCAGCGTGGGATGAGCCCTGGCCCTGGAGGCGGAGGACCAAAGAAAGCCCGTTCACGGACACGGATTTCCCTGGAGGCCCTGGGAATCCTGCAGAGCTTCATTGGCGACGTGGGCCTCTACCCCGACCAGGAGGCCATCCACACCCTGTCAGCCCAGCTGGACCTGCCCAAACACACCATTGTCAAGTTCTTCCAGAACCAGCGCTACAACGTCAAGCACCACAACCAGGCCAGAGACTCCGTCCCTGAGGAGGACGACAGGGAGAGCTCGAGTCCCAGCGAGGGAGGCATCGGCACAGGGGAGAGCCGAGGGGAGGAGGGGCTCTCTGCATGTGAGGAGTCAAGTGAGGATGGGAGAGGATCAGTGGAGGTGTTCAGAACAGAGGGAGGAGAGAAAGGAGAGGAAAGAGAGGTGGACATGGAGGTAGAGAAGGAAGAGGTGGATGATGGGAAAGCCTCAGGGCCAGCAACTTCCTCTCTGTCCCCATACAGCAGTCTGGACAGCCCCCACTCTGCGGAGCAGCAGAGATAACAGCAGAGAAAGGAGACGGAGGAACCAGAGAGAAACGTTAGACGGAAACAAACGACACCATCAAACTGTGAAGACCACACACAGATAACCTGTGAACACACACACACATTTTCATCACCTTTACTGGAGCTGATGATCAGAGCTCGTTAATATCTGAAGAAATGTGGAAAAATATTGATGTAAGGTTTGACGGAAAAGGGATTAGAAGGTACTACCAGTATTTTTGTTTTGACGCTGTCTATAGACACTATTTTTGGATGATTTTCAATACTCCTGAATTCCTCAGTCTTTCCCCAAGCTGTGTTTTTCTGGTGTTTTTCTGGTGACGATGGAAAAAGCATTTCAACTCCACTGAAACACAGATCACACATTAACACATTTAACACCTTTGTTTTAACGTGATACTCCACCAAATATCTAAAACACTCGCTCGGCAGGTGACTGGAGCAAGACTGTAGGTCATGAATAAACTCCTGCAGCACAATCCACTTTGTTTGTTCCACATACACAGCTTCCGTGGCAATTATCGCCACACATGGAAACTGTGCATTTAGCTGTACAGGATTTTGACATAAGGATACATACATACTGATTTTATGCTCAGACAGAGAAGGGGATTATGCTGCAGGAGAAGTTTCCATCCTAAAAGTCTTCAGCCATCTTTAAAGACTACAGACTTTATGTTCATGTTTAGAGGGTGAGGGTTTGACACTAAAGAGATTTTGGGGACAGGCTTCTTCTGCAGACATTACACGTGTATACAGGAAGAACCAGACTTACATACAGCACAGTTTTCAGTCCAAATTAATTTGAATTTTACATGTTCTCACAAGGAAAACTGTGCATTTGTGACCAGAAACACTGTAACTGAAGTGTTCGGATTTGCTAAAGTCAACCTAACAAACTCATCCCAGTAAAGCTGATGAGTAAAATCCTCCCAAACTACACAGTCAGATATTAGAAAACAAATATAATTAATTCTATTATTTAATAGATTAAGACACATCGACAAGCTGCAGCCACACGTGGAAACACTTGACTCATATCTGTTTTCTTTTTGGGCTGAGACATCATTACATTGGGACCAGGGGTAAAGATACTGACACTGAGCAGTGGTGAAGTGGACGTCATGTGAAGGGCATACACATAAGGGCATAACAATAACACTACAACGTCCATTGAAAATGAAGCCAATTTTCTATTCTACTTGTTTTTTTGATACATAATTTATTGTCTGGGTGTCCTTCCCATGATGCTTTAAGTGGTCCCTACGTCAACTGAGCTGTTTGTGACACTTAAGCCTTTACTGACAATAATGAGTCCCCCACTCTTCCCACCTTAATATTTATTACAAAGTTTATATTTACTAAAATCAAAGTGTTATTGTTGTAATTATAGTTTTCCTATGATTTTCTTTGATATGACAAACGTCGTAAATGTGACAAAAGTGGACGAGCAAGTCTGAAGAAGTTTGAGCTCAGTGTTACAGTTTAAGTTTAAAATTATGATTTTTTTTAATTTACTATTTGTGGACTGAACGGTTTTTCTAATGGAAAATTATGTACATTATATTGTAAATGTTGACAGTCCACCTGCAAAAGTGAATCTGTCATCATATGTGGGATTCAACCACTGTCACTTGACACTGTTTTGTGTATTTTTGTGCCACAAAGGAACAGGGTAGAAAACAGATTTTGTGTTTACAGTCTGTTTCAGTTCGACAATCACTCTGTACTGGATGGAGCACAAAGTTTCTGATTTGTTCCACTTTGATGTTTAACCATTGTTTGTTTGATTCTGTTGTGGGCAGGACATGAAAATCTGATAAAACTTTTCCAAAGTATTCTGCGTGTGGAAACTTTACCCTCTTTGCCTGTTGAAACCATGAAAGTCAGTATCAGTGTGTGACAGCAGTGTGATAAAGGCAACAGTGGCAGCCCGATCAAACCACAGTGTGTCCCAAACTGCACTGCATGTACCTGTGGAGTCACAACATTTTCTAGGGTTCTCCTGTTGGATTTCACTGTCCGGTTTAAACTTTGTGGAGGTAAATCTACAAAACAGTGTCATGCCAGATGACGACTGCAGAACTATAAGAGAAGCTAAATGTCATCATGTAAACACAGGCGACAAAAGAGTTCTTACATACCGAAACTATAACCACAAACACTATAAAGAGAACAAATACAAAGTGCAAAGTCTTTACCAACCAAACCACAGACAAAACAGTACAAGTACAATTAGAAGCTGTCTTTTTAAATCCCCTGTGCAAAACGTATTGTAACTACGGAGTACTGTGCATGAGATAAAGTGAAAGATGCAACATGAGTGGGTGGTCCTCGATGGACAAAGCCTGCAGTGATCCCTAAAAAAATGTAACATCATTTTGGTAAATTAATGATAAAATTTATCTGATCTGAACAGGTTATTACAGTTGGTCCTACTGCAGGTAAGGTAAGGTATGGTTGATTGTGAATTAATTTATGATCAAACTCATATCCATTATACACTATATGATGGTATCTGTTGCTAAGTTTGCAGAGGCCTGTTTGGATTTCTCTTCTTCGCTCTGGGAACCATTAGAAACAGATAAATTTATGAGTCTTCTTTGCTTGCCACGGCACCTGATAACAATTTGAGTAATTACAATTTAACAACTGCCATGTGTGACGAGCAAGTAAGTGGTTCATATCTCCATCTGCCATCCTCTCCTCTTGTTAAATATTTGGCTTTTCCTGCATAAGAAGTTGAGGCACAGCTCAGGGTGAGCATCCACGCTGAAGGTCCAGTGTGTCAGCGTGCTGCTGGTGTGTGAGATGCCTGTGGCAGCGGGTTTTACAGACCAGCTGAACGCCCATAAGTAAGTGCTCCCAGTGGTGCTGCTTTCTGCAGACTTTTCTCTGGGTTTTACATCAGGATGGGGGTGTGAACGTGAACCCTGAAACACCTTTTAAAATATAAAAGTCCTGCGATTCAAAAATCTACTTATGTTAAGGAAATCTCAGCTAAAACATAAAATGTCCTGGTTAGTGTGTGTGTGTGTGTGTGTTTTCTGTGTTCATCGTGTGTGTGAAGTGTGATGAAAACTAATTGGAGATCATAGTTAACTCACATCTAATATTACAACTGCATCAGTGAGTGTTGGTACGGTCCACCGGATTTCTGCTCACACAGCTGGCTATTAGAGCCGTATGGCAGGCTGATACAGGGCCATTAGAAGTGTGTGTGTGTAGTGGGACAGGGACGCAGGTGCTCCGTGGGCTGATATTACCCAGGATGCTCGGGGTGGGGGCGTAAGGGGTTATAGGGGGAAGGAGGCTCTCTGTGGAGCTCGCAAACACACCTGTGATCCCTTGCTAGCACGCTCAAACACACACTCACATACACTGCCCCCCCCCAGCCTCTGCGCTGCAGCACGTTAATACACACTCTGATAAACAGGCTAATACTCGCAGCAGCAGCACTTTACACACCATTGAACACAACACACGGTAATCAGTGGAGCCAACACGTGGCCCTGTGTGTGTATGTGTGTGATGTTTTGGAGACTTCCTGTGTGTGTGTGTTTGTTCATTTCATTGCATGTATACAATGAAGAGGCATTGCAGCCTCATTAGGCAATGTTGTGTGTATATGTGTGTGTGTAACAGCAAGGGCGAACCTGGGCATTTTTATTTTTGAAAAAAGATTAGATAAGAATCACAATCATATCTGTGTGTGTGTGTGTGTGTGTGTGTGTGTGTGTGTGTGTGTGTGTGTGTGTGTGTGTGTGTGTGTGTGTGTGTGTGTGCGCGCACCACAGAATCAAACCCAGCAAACCATTTAGCTTTACAAAAGGAATTCAAAACCATCTCTCATTACTTGCTACATGCATAAATGTAAAAAGACTATATCAATTAGTTGATTGAAAATTAATTGCACTGGACTAAACACCAGTCATCATCTTCATACACCATATCATCTTGTTACAACCCAGCTCCTAGTTGGGGAAAACGGGTATATAATAATGGATAATATAACATACAATCAACGGAGAAGAGGGGAACAGGGCAAAAGAGTGATGCTAAATCATGCTAAATCATGCTAAATTTAACAAAAGAAGACTTTAGCTAAACAGGAGTTATCAGACTTACTTTCTATAAATATATATATATATATATATATATAAAATATTCACAAAATGTCACAGATAACAAGAGAATGTCACAGATAAAACGAGCTACAGAGGTAAACAGCGGCCCAGACGTTCAGAGGCAGGAAGGTCAGCAGCTCAAGCTGGAAACTCCTCCCACTTGCTGTAGCCAATCCCGACGCTGGGTCCACGCAGCTTATTTCACATATTGTAGACAATGATAACCATCATTTTACCCTCATTTTTGAAACTACTGAGTTCAAAGTGTAAATGAAGGTGGAGTTTAAAGCTGTAGTCCAAAGTTAGAGTTAAAAACTTACCAGTTTTAAGCATTTGTTGAATTTAAAGAGCTACTTTCTGACTATTCACTTACATACCATGAACTGGTTTATGTTGAACAGATAGCCTGGTTGTCCGATTGTAAAATGAAAAAAGTTGTTAACCTGTGTTCAGCACTTATCATCAGTCCCACATGTCAGCTGTGAAATGAGCACAGATACAAATGTAGGGTGAAAATGACAGAAAAACGAGCCTAAAACCAGGTTGCAGCCATCAAATGTTACAGTGTGTGACAAGTGAGCCACCCAGTTAAAGTTTGGACATTATCACAATTTATGGTTTCATTGAATATGTTTGTTCTGTATTGTGCTCATAGAGGTGTCACGTTATGATCAACTGCACATGGTAACACTAAACATCACAACTTTTGGTCCATCACACACATGCGTGCACACACACACACACACACACACACAAACACATGCACAGATGGTGAAAACACCCCTCAAATACCCAAAGATGAAACGAGTCAGAAAACAACCACATCACATCTCCTTCAAAAACAAACATTTAATTATGGCGGCTCTGCTGCATTAGTGGCAGACCAGCGGGTTTTGATGTG